TGATGATGCATGGAGGGGAGGGGATTGTAATGAAATACAATAGGATGAATGTAAAGCTGATGCTTTCCCATGTAAACACTCAATTCACAATACGAACATTTTTAAAAAAATTTACTGTCTCAGAAACTCTGTATCAGGTCATTGTGGGTCATTTACATTCAATGAATCATTGCACTGATTACAATCCCCTCCATGTACTATCAGTTAACAGTATTACCTCGATCACTATTAAAAAAAAAGTTTTTTTATGTACACATACCACACTAAAAACACATACTCATTTCAATGTCCAAAGAGCATGTTTTGCAAGCCAGCCTCCTACCCGAAGACACACTGCCTTTCTCAGTCCATGGGCCTATAGGCCACTGCTGATCAGTCTCTCTGTGCCAGCGCCTCTGCCACCATCTCTGTTGTCACTGCTTTTCTGGTGAGGAATCCTTGCTCCTCTCATGCTCTTCCCTCTTGATGGTCCTAGGGTCCTCTGTTCCCATAACGACAGTTTAACTTCTCCCCTCTTTACTTATAACACTTCTACATTTACAGTTGTGACAATTGTCATTAGACCCAATAAAATTACTCACAATTGAATCATAAAATCCTATCCCCATTATCACCACACCCATCTGGACAAGAGGAAAACTGTTCATTGAAACCACTATTTAGTGTGTATCCTTTCCAGAGCTATGCAAACAAATATGCATTTGTATTCTATTTCCCTCCCTTCGTGTGCATTATAGAAATGATGTTGAAACCACATGATAGAATTTTGCAAGACCAATGACTTCTTCATTGCAAATATCTTTTAAAAACAACATAAAGAGGAGAGTGGAGCTACTGGCTGATGGGAAGAGTGGGCATGTGCACAGGAGCGCCCACACTTGCAGATGATACCCACGTCACCTGGACCAGATGACTGGATGATCGGAGCTCAACCAGGAGAAGAAAGAAGAGGGAGAAAAAAAGAGTGAGCTGATACAATCTGATGAACTTGACCTATACCTATGTTCAAAAGAAGGAACAAATC